CCCTGAACTTATTCTGTCACATTCATCACTAAATCCCGGTGATTTCACTCCCTAAATGTTTCTCAAATCTGTGCCCTCTGCTTTGTCTCTACTATTGTCCTACTTTAGGCTAATCATCTCTTACCTGGAACATGGGCTTCTAACTGATTTCCCTGTCTCTAGTTCTTTCCCCACATAACCATTCTCCAGACTACCTACCTCCTCCCCTAAAAGATCTTTGAAAACATCTGTGTCAGAGTCCTGCTTAATAATCTTTAAAGAGCTGTTCTTTCATCTGATCTTTTCTCTCATTCGTTCAGTAAGTATTTATTGTTTACTGAATTGCAAAATCCATTGGAACTTCTAAAATTTGAGCTACTCAGCCACTCACCCAGGGCTCTGCTTCATTTGGACCTTTTTACATCTCCAGCCTCTTTTCTGCCTCATACTTTAGATTGCAGCAACATTGAACTGCTTCTTCATATGCACAGTGCTGTTTCTTTGTGTATTTGCCTTTGCTGTTCCCTTTTATTGGAATCTTCTCCTTGATTTCTTTCTTCACTTTCTCCTTTTTACCTAATTAGGCTGCTCCCTCTTACCTAATTAACCTGGTTTATATTCAATATATAGGACTCATTTTTAGGACCACCTCCTATAGGAAATTTTAGGAAATTTTTCTTGACACCTCCTTTTTCCAAGTCTAGGTTGGGTACTTCACCTTTGTGCTCCCATGAAACCCTTTTGATGGCAAGTATGTTGTATTATACTTGTATCATACAATGCAAATAAGATGTATTATGTCTTTGCTCCTAGCACCAGAATGGCACAAGGAACATACTGGGCATGAAGTAATTTTTTTTTTATCCTTACCTGAGGATATGTTTATAGATTTGAGAGAGAGAGGAGGGGAGAGAGAAACATTGATCAGTTGCCTCCCATATGCACCCTGACTGGGAATCAAGCCCACAGCCTAGGTATATGCCCTGACTGGGGATTGAACCCGTATGGGACCATGCTGCAATGAACTGAGCCACCCGGCCAGGGTATGGGCATGCTGTAACTTTGACAGAATGATCAAATGAGTGAAAACAAAAGGTACCAGTATACAGTGTAGTGATTAAGAACCTGTTCTTTGGCATTATTTCAAATCCCAGCTCTGGCACACATTGGCTGTGTGACTTGAACACATTACTTATCTTCTCTAAGCCTTACATTTTTTCTTAAAATGAGAGTTGTTGTGAAGATTAAATGAGATGATATAAGCAAGACATTTAGCAAGTACCTAGCACATGATACACACTTGATAAAAGTATGCTGAACACCAGGGGATTCAGAAGTATAAGGCCAGGCCTGACCCAGGGCAGTGATCTCCAGAGAGCCTTCCTCTGAGTTTTCTGGACATGGATGCAGTCTGTATTCAAGGAGATTTTATTCTCATCTGGAGAGTAGAATTACATCCACATACAAGTTTTAGAGAATTGTGAAGGTAAATGGACCACACCCAATAACAAGATGTAGGAAAGAGAAGACAGTTTGGTGAAAGCCTCAGGGAGGAAGTGGGGCTTGAAAGTTGTGAAGGACTTAGGTGTCTAGGAGTGGGTAAAGAGTATAAACCAATAATACTAGGGGATATTAAGGATTGTTTATTTGGGAGACACATATTTGTCTGGGGGTAGGGAGGAGAGAGAGGATGGGTAAATGGGACTAGTCCAATGAAGAAGTGGGAGGGGTAATAAATAACTTCTATGGGGTTAGAATATGAGGGTATTAACCTCAAGTCCGAGGGATTTGGGATTGATCAGGGCTGGGCAAGTTTTCAGGGCTGTGCTGGACATTATAGTAGCCATCAACCACATATAACTAGCTATTTAAGTTTAAAAGGAATCTAAGATACTCAGTTCCTCCTTGTGCTGGCTACATTTCAGACTGTCACCTGATGGCTGCATTATTAGATGGTGCAGATTGAGAACACTTTCATCATTGCAGAAAATTCTACTGGACAGCACTGTTCCAGGTTATCAGATTTCTGGCCTTGTGTGGTTTATTGGATCACTTGGGTTCCCTGAGAAATAATTAGAATTTCTTTCTGACCAGTCCCCGCAACTCTGGAATGGAAAGTATGGAGCTGAAAAATAGAATTACAACTTATCCACATAGATGGGAGGATGGGATTGCCCAAAGAGAGGAGCAAAGCACCCCACATAAGAGGGGGTGCCAGAAAAGGGAAGAGAACCTGGATAGGTCATCTGGTTATTCATTTGCAAATATTTATTATATTCTTACTATATGCCAGTATTGTATTAAGTGCTGAGCTATATTGGTAAACAAACAGACTTCTGCTATTGTAGAGCTTGCAGTTTTTGGAGTTTTATTGGATGGACTATATTGAAGATTCAGAAACACCCGTCCTTAAGTGCTCCCCACACTCTAAAATGCTTTATTCCTAGAAGTTAGAACTAGTCTGAAACAAGCCAAGATATTATGTAAGGTTAGTTGCCTAAGTATTGTGTAGTCATTGTTTCAGCTTCTTGGGGAGTGCTGAGGTGGAACATCATAACGTCAGAACTTTGGGGAGAATGAAGCTTGTGAGTATGTGTTTGTGTAGGGCAGGAGGGGTAGTTCCTGTTATCCTGCAACTAGCAGCCATGCTCTCAGCTGTCTGTTGGATTCTTTCCTGTCTCTGCTGTCAAACTGCTCTCTCCAGGATTCTTTTATTGTTGCAGTGAGTAGTCAGTCATCATCACATGACTTGTCTCCCTGCCTAATGAAAATATACTTCTCAGCGCTTTACCTGCTCGTTCATCAGTTTCCAGCGAGAACAAACAGATGCCCTTCTGAACACATAGTATTTAAAAGTGGGACCCGCCTGTAGCACCATCATTATTTGACACTCCAGATTAAGATTTTGGATTTATAGCTGACTCTTCATGCTTTGGCATCAGCTCCTTCACAAAGACCTGCTAAACTGCCTTTTGGACTTCACTCTGGGTCACATATTAACAGCCTCCTGACCAATTTTCTAAAAAAGATTTTATTTATTTAGAGAGAAGGGAAGGAAGGACAAAAGAGAAACATTGATGTGCAAGAGATGTATTGATTGGTTGCCTCTTGCACTTCTACAACTGGGGACCTGGCCTGTAACCCAGGCATATGTCCTGACTGGGAATTGAACTGGTGATCTATTGGTTCACAGCCCGGCACTCAATCCACTGAGCTACATAAGCCAGGGCCTAATTTTTGATCGTAGATTTCTCCACTCCAGCCTGCCTACCACAGCTGTTGTTTCACCTTAGTATGTAGCTCAGAACCTGGCAATGGTCTCTTATTGATTGTCAGATCTCAACTTTTCAGCTTAGTGTTCTTTCAACCCCTCTGCCTTTTTTTGTTACCCTTTGGGACACCCTCTGGCTCAGCGAGCTAAGGTCTGCTTTCCACCCCTTACCAATGGCTTGTCATTGCTGAAATCTGTGCTGTCACTTGTATTTTTAAAAATGGGATGTCCCTGCCCACTCCTTTTCTTCCATTGGCTCCTGGCTTTTTCGACTGGGAGGTTTCAGAAACCTTTCCTGACTGATCCATATTCTGTGACTTGGCCCTCTGAGCACTCATGTGTTCACTCTGCCTTGCATTATCCTGTCTTTGCAGATGGGAATGAAACTCTGATTTTTAAAATATGGTTTCTTCTTCCCCTTTGGACGCAGAGCTTGTGCAGAGGGCCTGATAGTTGTTGCCTTGCTTACAGGGGACATTTCTTAAAGAGAGGGTATTAGAGGTTTGAGCATTGGTAAGTTTAGGGAGTCTAGAGAGGCATCCCAAGATCTCGTCCATTCCTGCACGTAATTCCCTGCTCTATCTCCCTGGGTAATCTCATCATCTCTCTGCCTCCCTCTCAAGTATTTGGTCCATTCCTCTACCTGAGCTTCATACCCATATATGCAGCTTGACTCTTGGATCTTTCATAGTCAACTTAAACTAATGGTGTTTTAATATGAAATCATCCCTTCTTCACCTACCATTTATCCCCATATTATGTCTCTTTGTTTATTCTTCCTTTTGGTTAATAAATATTTCCAAATTACTCCTTTGTCATTCCCCAAATGCAGTCAGTAATTAAGTCTACCTTCATGATTTCTTCTGGCTCTTTCTCTATCCCCTTTGTTCTGCTTTTGTTCAGGCAGAATTTCTTGTCTCTTTCTCTTCTGCTGATTCTCTGCATGGCCTTAAAGGTAGTTTTTCAAAAGAGCACAGCGACTCCACTATTGTGCAGGTTGTATATTGCACACAGGTGCTGCATTCATACTTTAGAAATTGTAGGTTTGTGTATTTCTTATGACAGCCTTCTGGCAGATGGCAGCAAAATGTTTCATTTTAATATCAGTATGTGATGATAGCTAAGGAGGGAAATCTTCTAAAACACACAAAATGCTTGTGGACTGAAGAACATCTTCTGTTCTTATGTCTTAGTTTTCTGCCAGGCAAACTCCATTTTGTCCTTAAAAAAACAAAACAAAAACAAAACAGCCTCAACATAAATATATTTTATTAGTTAAGCCTTTTTTTATACTTTCTGTAAGAGTCAGTCATTCCTTTGGCCGGCCTAATGCCATTTTTGATTCTTTCCTTCTTATAATGCTTGTCACATTATATTTTAAGAATTGGTATATGAGTCTATCTGTCCCATTGTATGCCAGGCCCCACAAGGATAAGGACAGTGTTTAATCATTCTTTGACCCTCAGCTTGTAACCTAATGTCCACATAAAGTATACCATAAGCATAACACATATTTGATTGCTTGGCATGATTCAGCACAGAGATGAATACTTTACTCACGTTTTATCCTCATGAGTCCTTATGAGTCCTGTCATTATCACATTTTACAGGTGAGGAAATTGAAACTAGGGAGGTGAAGCTACTTGTCTCCAGTGAACAGCTTGTAAATGGCATGTGGGGTATGCTGGGGTGTGGCTCTGGAGGACTTGTGCCAGTTTTTCCAGCAGTTCTCTTCTGTTTTGTCTCTCAGAGTAATGATGCGGGTGTGCTGGTTGGTGAGACAGGACAACCGGCACCAGCGGATCAAACTTCCACATTTGGAAGCAGTCACCATTGGGCGTAGCCCAGAGACCAAGATCACCGATAAGAAATGTTCTCGACAGCAAGGTAACTGGTCTCAGGAATGTGGAGAGTATCGCGTGTGGTTCTTTAGAGTAGTGATAACCAAAGGTGCACATTTTTTGGATGCTCATGGTAGAAAACCTTTTGTCTGCTATAAACAGAACTCAGGAACTGAGCTCTTTTAGCCAACACCAGGGCACCATTCACTCCTGATTCCACCCTCTGAAAGCAGTTACTATTCAGTGTTGAGAACAGGCAGGTCCTTTCTGTTGCTGTGGGTGGTGGGACTGATCCTGCACCCCACTTTGCTCAGGGAGCATCCACGTTGGGCAGTGAGACTGTTAAATTCTGGGATCTCCAGGCTGAAACCATGTCTGAGAAGTGATGGAATGGTTCCATCCTTTACATATTGCCTCCTACAGAGGGAGGCATCTCATTAAGACTATGGCATTTAGCTTTTGAAATGTCATCGTTGGGATTTAATGAAATGAAAGTCCTTAGGAAAAAGCCTTACCATATACCTCCTTTTTTGCCTGTAAACTTCTGGACATGCTTACTGTTCCCAGGCCTCCCACCTGTGGTGTGTTCCCTGTAGCAGGGTTTTCCAAGGCTTGGAGTCTGCAGCACTGACCACTGGTTTTGTCACATGAGTTAATCTAAGCGGGGGAAAGAAAAAGTCATGCTTGACCTTTCTAGGCCCAAGATACAGAAGCAGATACTGCTTCTTGCACTCTGTCCCCCTTGTCACAATGTCAGCCTGTCCTCTGCCTGTCCTCCCTGGAGAGGAGCTATGGTGTCTCTTTTTTGCTCCCTGTCTCACTCCAGAAACTTTGTTCATGTCTCTGAACACAATTGTTGAATGTTACTTCTCACACATGCTCAGACTATTCTGTTTGAATATTCTTCTTCCTAGAATATTCTGTCCATTCCTCCAACCCAAGGGCAGCTGAACTTCTGTTTTCTGGGAATGTATCATTTACCACTTTATCTGTTAAAGGCATCTGATAGTTTTATATGATAGTGGAAGCCTGGTTTAATCCTGAACCAAGAGCTTGTGAGAGAAGTTGGTCTGCTTCCATGACTGCAGAGTGTTTGATCCCAGGTGGGCCAAGGACTCTGGAATAGGGAGACTTGTGGGGATTCAGTGAAGCTGCCTATTGGTGTATTGGTAGTAGGTAAGGGAGTGTGTACACTGTTGGACATTTTATGGGAGGATTTGGAGCCCCAGCCACCTGTATGATAGGCAGTTATGCTCATGGGCCTTTGAGGAATCCCCGTTAAGTTGCCTCCTAGAGTGAGGCTTCATTGTCTTGTAGAGACAATAGGAGTAAGTGCCTGGTTCTTCATGGCATTTGGGTTTAACTTTTTTCAATCTCTTTCAGTACAGTTGAAAGCAGAGTGTAACAAAGGATACGTCAGGGTAAAGCAGGTATGTCTCTGTATAACTTGGATTTCCATTTTATTCTTGATGATTTTCTCATGCTGTTGACTTTAGAGTGTCTGTGCCAGCCCATAACTCTTCTCTGCTATGTGTGGGAGTGATGGAGCAATGTAAGTGATCATTAAGCACAGTGCTTGGCACATAGTAAGTGGTTAACATAGCAGTGACTATATTTGTAATGGTGTTGTTGTTATTATTATAATTATTTTCTTAATATTTCCTAGGTAGGGGTCAATCCCACCAGCATTGACTCAGTCATAATTGGGAAGGACCAAGAGGTGAAGCTGCAGCCTGGCCAGGTTCTCCACATGGTGAATGAACTTTATCCATATATTGTAGAGTTTGAGGAGGAGGCAAAGAGCCCTGGCCTGGAGACACACAGGAAGAGAAAGAGGTCAGGCAGCAGTGATTCTGTAGAAAGGGATGCTGCCCAGGAAGCTGAGCCCAGTACAGCACTGCAGCCTGGGAGTAACTCTAGCCAGTGCTTTGTGCCCCCAAACAAGGAAACAGATGCATCTACCAAAAAGGTGAGGATAGTGTGCCTGATAGATGAAGAGATTAAATGAGATGTAATGACTGCTTAGTTGTTTTGTACACTATAAAGCCCAGGCACACGTGAGGGGTTATTCATGAACCATAGCAAGGGTTATTAACCATGATGGAAGAGTCACTTGTTGGTGTCACCAGTCAATTGGTACTTTTCTCTTGAATTCCTTAGGTAAGTCACTTGAAGGTAGGGTGATAATGGCATTATACTTCACAATGAGCTACTAAAATGGGTCAGTAATTTGTAAATCTAGAAGGTTAGCATTGGAATACTTTTCATAGATCATGTGATTCACATCCTGATGTCAAAGTGGAAACCTAGTCTGGCTTAGATGGAGTGGGAGAGGACATGTAGCTCTGAACACAGGAAGAAAATGAGGTTGACTTATGGTTATAAAAGCAAAAGATTGAGATAAAGGGGATATAGTTTAATTCTTAAAAATTAACCTTATTTAAGCCCTGGCTGGGTAGCTTGGTTGATTAGAACTGGAGACCCTTTGGTTCATACGCTGGCACTCCATCCACTGAGCCATACCAGCCAGGGCTAAAATAAATTCTTAAAAATTTCACCTTATTTGCAAGTTTGGTCGAACTTTGCTGACATACAGTGTTAACTAATGCTATATTTAACTATTGGCATTTGAGATTTACATTGCCCTTTTTTGTTTTAGGAGTCATTGGGCCACTGGAGTCAAGGCTTGAAGATTTCTATGCAGGACCCCAAAATGCAGGTCAGAATAAAATTTTGGCATTGAAATATATTTCATGTTTAAATGACCAGCGCTCTGGGTGATGTGGCTCAGTCGATTGAACACTGGCCTACGAACCAAAGGGTTGCTGGTTTGATTCCCAGTCAGGGCACATGCTTGGATTGTGGACTAGGTCCCTAGTAGGGGCACATGAGAGGCAACCACACATTGATGTTTCTCTCCCTCTCTTTCTCCCTTCCCCTCTGCCTAAAAATAAATAAAATAAAATAAAATAAATAAATAAATCTTAAAAAAAAAAGACCATTCTGCAGAGGTCATAACTACAAATGAAATCAAAGGAGATCAGTTATTCTGAGTGAGATTTTTAAAAGATATTTGATTTATTTTTAGAAGGGGAGGGAGAGAGAAAGAGAGGGAAAGAAACATCAGTATGCAAGAGATAACATCAATTGGTTGCCTCTTGCATGCCCCCTACTGGGCATCTGGCTGACAACCCAGGCATGTGCCTGGACTGGGAATGGAACTGGTGACTCTTTGGTTCGCAGGCTGGTGCTCAGTCCACCGAGCAACACCAGCCAGGGCTGAATGAGATTTGTTTTATTGGCTATTTTGTGAGGACAGGTAGCTTTTCCCATTGTCAGTTAAGTGAGCACCTGGAATTCTTTGGAGAGAAGCTCTGTTCTTCAAATGAATATCCCCTCTGCCTTGTTCCTCCTAAACTTCTGGATATTGTTAACAGGAGATGAGTTAACCTTACTGTGGTTTCTTTCAAGAGAGTGTTAGATAATGTATTGTGACTGTACTTACAGGCTGCACTGGGATTAATAGTTTGGCACCACCCTGGGAGGGGGTCTTTGAATTCTTAAATTATATCCTGGGGTGACAAGGGGCCAGATCTGATAGGGCTTCTTGGAACACATGTGTAGATGTCATGTGGCCTGCTGTGGAAGAGTGGAGAAGGGAGCATTCGAATTGATGCCTGCAGGGATTTCACATCAGATCCTTAGGAACTACTTTGTACTGTGCATCTTCTGTGTATTCTGTGTAGTGTAGTGATTAAAACACAGATTAGAGTCCACTGGATCTGGGTTGCAATTCTAGATTTCCTACTTAGTGACTGTGACTTTGCACAAGACATTCAACTTACCTGAGTCTCTGTGCTTTCATCTGTCAAAATTGGGATACTAAAGCCTTTTGTAGATGATTGTGGTGGGGATTAAGTGAGTTAACAAATATGACATCACTTGGCACACAGAAGATGCATGGAAGATATCTGTTCCCTTTTCCTGTGCCCCTCTGCTAGGTTTACAAAGATGAGCAGGTGGTGGTGATTAAAGATAAATACCCCAAGGCTCGTCACCACTGGCTGGTCTTACCATGGGCCTCCATTTCCAGTCTGAAGGCTGTGACCAGGGAACACCTTGAGCTCCTCAAACACATGCATGCTGTGGGGGAAAAGGTGATTGCAGATGTTGCTGGGTCCAGCAAACTCCGCTTTCGATTGGGCTACCATGCCATTCCCAGCATGAGGTAAGCCTTGTGGGTAGTGCTGGTACGTCCTGATTTTGTCTTGGTGGGCATATGGATTCAGCCTGAGTCTGCTGAGTGTGCTGATAGCCATGAGGCCTGGAGAAGTAGGGTGGATGTTTCCAAGGCAGGCGGGCTGAAACTCCCACCCTCCTGTCTGACTTGTCTGTAAGCCTTGAGTTCCTACTTCTGCTTGTAATTCAATCATACTTTTTTTGTTCCTCTCAAAGTGTAAACCTCTGAGAACCTAACCTATGAACTAGATGAAGCAGCTTCATTACTCTCTGATGAAGAATTGTGGTCAGTGACTTTTCAGAAGCCTCTACAACCACTAAGTGATTAAGGACCATTGCTCTGAAGGAGACAAACGTCACTGACTTCTGTTATGACAGCATAGTAGATCTAAGATTTAAAACAAAATGAGAGAAAAGTGCAGAGTTTGCTTTCTTTGGGCTCGTAGCCAGAAGGATTCAGAAATGAATGATTGATTGTTTTCAAAGAATGCAAGTAAGGCAGATCTCCACAGTTGTTTACAGCTAAGCAACAAGATAGGCAGACTAATTGGTGTTCAGAGTTTTTATCTTGGGTAGTTTTTTTTTTTGTGGTAAAATAAACATAACAAAATTGACCATTTTAACTATTTTCAAGTGTACAGTTTAATGTCATTAAGTACATTTACATTGTGCAACCATCACCACTATATTTCTAGAACTTTATCTTCCCACACAACCTTCCATTCCATCCTCCCACCAGCCCCTCAAAACCATCATTCTATTTTCTGTCTCTATGAATTTGACTACTCTAAGTACTGCATATAAGTGGAATTATATAAAATCTGTCCTTTTGTGACTGGCTTATTTTACTTAACATAATTCTTCAAGGTTCATCCATGTTGTACCATGTATCATAATACCTTTTGGTTATTTTTTTTTAAGCACCCAACATTCTTCACATTTTATTTAGGTGGGTAATTAGGATACTTTAACCTAATGAAATTTTTGTGCCACATATTTTTCTCCTATCAATGCTCTTTCTTTTAAATTAAGCCATAATGTACATAGAATAAAATGCATAATAAGATTATAGTTTGGTCACATGTACAGATGGTCAAATTTGACAAATGTACATACCATGTAATTATCACTGTGATCAATAAAATATATTAAAAAAGATCTGGTTAGAAATATGGAAAAAAATAACATTTCACCAACATAAATGTTAACAGAACTCAACAGCAGCATTAACAACCATTATTCCTCCCAAATTGGGGGGGGGGTGTGCGTCTTATAGTCCGAAAATACGGTAATTTTGAATAAATGTTATGGAAAGGAAAAGGTAACAAATAACTTTTTTATTGTTAAAGTAATGTATTTTCTTTTTTTAATTTTATTTTAATCATTATTCAAATACAGTTTTCTCCTTTTTACTCCCAATCCAGCCCGCCCTCCCACCCCTCCCCACTTCCCTCCCATTACCACTCTCCTCTTAGTTTATGACCTTGTGTCCTTTAAGTTTGTTCCCGTGAACCCTTCCCACTGTTCCCTTAAATTCCCTCTACTCTCTTCTGTGGGCACTGTCAGCCTGACCTTTATTTCAGTGTCTTTGGTTATATTTTGTTTCTTCGTTTTGTTATATAGGTTCCTGTTAAAGGTGAGATCATATGGTATTTGTCTTTCACTGCCTGGCTTGTTTCACTTAGCATAATGCTTTCCAGCTCCATCCACGCTGTTGCAAAGGGTAGGAGCTCCTTCTTTCTTTCTGCTGCATAGAATTCCATTGTGTAAATGTACCATAGTTTTTTGATCCATTCATTTACTGTAATGTATTTTCAATGTAGAAAATCTAAAACAGAAAAGTATAAAGCAGAACAAAAACCTTCCATAACATCACCACAATTAAACTCTAGACTAGATCTTATTTGAATTTCACCCATTTTTCTCATAATCTTTTTCTGCTCCAGGATCCTGTCCAGGACCCTGCATTGCAGTTATTTGTTATCTCTCCTTAGTCTCCCTTAATCTGCAACAGTTCTTCCTTTTCTGGTTTTTATGACCTTGACACTTTTGATGAGCACTGGCTAGTTATCTTACAGGCTGTCTCTCAGTTTGGGTTTGTCTAATGTTTTTTCATCTTAGATTGAGGTTATGCTTTTTTCTTTCTTTTTTTTTTTTTTGCCAAAATGCCACAGAAGTGATGTGTCCTTCTCAGTGCATCGTATCAAGGAGTGCATGATGTCGATATGGTTTATAACTTCATGATGTTCACCTTGGTCACTTTGTTAAGTGATGTCTGCCAGGTTTCTCTACTCAAAGTTAGTATTTTTTCCTTTATAATTGATGAATATCATGAGTATTTTGAGACTGTGCTACTGTCTTGTTCCTCCTCAAACTTTTGTCCAGTAATTTTAGCATCTCTATTGGTGGATATTGCCTGCAGTAGTTATTACTATGGAGTTTACCTAATGGTGATTTTATGTTTTTCTCATTCCTTCTAATTTATTAATTGGAATTCTTGTAGGTAGAAGAGCTATCTCCCCACCCAACCCTGATTATGCAATTTTTTAAAATTTATTTTATTTTTAGACAGAGGGGAAGGGAGGGAGAAAGAGAGGGCAAGAGAAACAATGATGTGTGGTTGCCTCTCACGCTCCCCTTACTGGGGACCTGGCCCACAACACAGACGTGTGCCCTGATTGGGATCAAACCAGCGACACTTTGGTTCACAGGCTGGTGCTTAATCCACTGAGACACATCATCCAGGGCCCGATTTTGTATTTATTCAATAATTTATTAGTAAGGACTCATGGGTATTTATTTTATTTTATAGGTTTTAATTTGACCTATTATTTGTTTTGTTGTTCAAATGGTTCCAGCTGTGGTCATTGGAAGGTCCTTTGGGTTGACTCCTGCAGCACTTTGACATGACCCCAGCATTTTTTGAGCACTTATTTATTTTCTGGAATAAGATATTCCAGGATCATCTTATATTTTTCCTGATCTAGCCCTGGAATGAACCACTTCTGTCAAGATCCCTAGTTCCTCTTATTGGAGACTGATATTTATAAACCAAGACTTGGGCACTAGGTTTCTGTAATGTTGATTGTAGGGTGTCCTTGGTCCTATATTACTGAAGTATTATTGATTCTAGGAGTCAAAGCTATACAAAAAGGTATACTACTTGGTTTAACAAGTTGAAAAGAGAATTCTTGAGTTTCTTCCTCATACCTACTTTTCCTGCAAGCTTCTCCATTTCTGTAGGTGGCACCTCCTGAAACCCATATCCAATTCAATAGTAAGTCTTGTTGGTACTGTTCCAAAATGTATTAAAAATTGGATTGCTTCTTGTCATCTCACCTACTATAGCTCTAGTCTAAGACATCATTATTTCTGGCTTGAACAGCTAGGTCTCTCTGTATCCATCCTTACTCACTTTATAGTCTTTTTTTACACAGCAGCCAGAGTCATCTTTTAAAAGTGTGGCTCAGATAGTAGTACTCCCCTGCTTAAAATCCTTCAGTGGTTCCCTACTGTACAGAGAGTATAGTGCAGATCCCTTGCCGACCTACAAGACCTTTATGATCTGTCTCCTACTTAATCTCTGCTCCATGGCTACAGTCATTCTGGCTACATTACCTCTCTGTTCCTTGGGTACACTAAGCCCTTTTTCATCTCAGGGCCTTTGTGCTTGGCCCCCCTGCTCTCTGAAATACTCTTTCCCCAGATCTTTGCTTGCTTGACTGCTTTCTCAGCTCAAATCATTGCTTGGGAGAGGCCTTCTCTGAACACCCTAAGCTAGTTAAAGAGGCAACCTCTACCCCCTGGGCACTCTCTGTTACATTTCCCTGTGTTCTTATTTTCTTAGCAATGTTAAGGATTTGAATTTTTCTTGTGTATTGGTCTACTTATATTTTATTTGTCACCCTCATGAGAACATAATTTCTAGAAGGACAGAGGCCTTTTTTATTTTGTTCACTATTAAATTCCCAGTGCTAGAACAGAGCTTGGCCCATCTGGGTACTTAATGAGCATTAAATAGTCTGAAGTGAATGAATGAATTGAATTAAATGGGAACACTGCTAATAGTTTACATACCCATACTTGTACTGTTTGTTTTTTTAATTTAACCACAATCTTTAATGGATTTAATCGTCAATTTTTTTCCCTCTCAACTAGCCATGTCCACCTTCATGTCATCAGCCAGGATTTTGATTCACCTTGCCTTAAAAACAAAAAACATTGGAATTCTTTTAATACAGAATACTTCCTAGAATCACAAGGTAAACAGTATTCTTTGGTTTTTACATTTATTTCATTTTCTCATGTTCTCATACTCGATTTAGCTGTTTCCCTAAATAATTACCAGGTCTCAAAACTTACGTATAACTTTGTGTTCCCTATAAAGAGGGCCTCATTAAGGGAAACTGGATTATTTGGATTATGGTAGGGTTGTCACTTTGATGTGAGCAACCTTCTTGGGGGACCTAGAAAGTTGTTGTGTCAGGGTCAAAAAGGTGTTTTATTATAACACCAGGGGACTTAAAAATTGTTCTGAGAGTTATTGGACTTCATAGATGTGGAAGCTCTAAATAGTTCTATGTTTCCTCTGCCATCCGCTGGGCAGGAGCTTGGGGCTGCCTCGTGCCAGGAGTGGTTAATAAACAGGGGAAGGCTATGTATGCAGAAGGAAGCATTTCCCAGTGTGTATTCTGTGGAACTTCAGTATGCTGGCAAGTTAACAGTGACCGTGGCCATTGACCAAGGGCCAACCATGAGTAAAACACTGTAATAAGCCTTTGACATGGTAACATAGATTGTTTAGAGTGTATCTTAAAGGAAAATAATCATCTTCAAAATAAGTTGCCCAGATTCAGAATCTGATCAAGCCTATTTTCCCAGCAATGAGTCTAACCTCATTTACTAGCTTTAGGGTACCTGTCATATTTTTATTTGGAGTCAGATTTTTTTTTTTAAATTTTGTATTGGCTTTTCAGAGTAGCTGGGCTCTGAACTTTGTATCTTGCTTGCAGCTGTGATTGCGATGGTACAAGAGGCTGGAAGAGTGACTGTCCGAGATGGGATGCCTGAACTCTTGAAGCTGCCCCTGCGTTGTCATGAGTGCCAGCAGCTGCTGCCTTCCATTCCTCAGCTGAAAGAGCATCTTAGGAAGCACTGGCCAGAGTGATTCTGTGGAGCCTGAGCTTCTGCAGCAAGTATGACTGAATGTTTAGAGCAAAATCCTGGCACCTGTTCTGGACTGCTTGTGAACTTTTACTTATTTCTTGAACTAAAAAATACAGGCTTTTTAACAAAGCTCATACTATTCCTGAGTGGCTACAATGTGGAGTGACTTGAAATGGTTCCAGAATTTGGGTTTGTCATGAATGTGTTCTCTGGTTGGTGAGGGTGGCTGGGATAGGCCTAATCATCTCTAGGACCCATGTCAGCTCTGACTAATATGAGCAAAACTATGTTCAAACTGACCTAATGCAGTAATGGAAGCAGAGGGTGGACTATGTATATCTTTTCCTTACAGTTATCCTTCCTGCCTGGAGACATTCAATAACCTTTCCTCAGAGCAGCCAGAGGGGTCCCTTGTTTATCCTGAAAGGCACCGTTTGGTTCTGTTCTCTGATCTTGTGTAATTTAAAAATTTTTTTCAATTACAGTTTACATTCAATATTACCTTATATTAGTTTCAGGTATATAGTATAGTGGTTAGATAACCATATACTTTGCAAAATGTTCCTCCTAGTATTTTCAGTACCCATTTGGCACCGTACATAGTTATTATAATATTATTGATTATATTTTTTTCAAAGATTTTATGTATTTATTTTTAGAGAGAGGAGAAGGGAGGGAGAGACAGAGGGAAACATCAATGTGTGATTGCCTCTCTTGTGTCCCCTTCTGGGACCTGGCCCGAAACCTAGGCATGTGCCCTGACTGGGAATCCAACCTGTGACTCTTTTGTTCACAGGCTGGTGCTCAATCCACTGAGCCACACCAACCAGGGCTGATTATATTTTCTATGCTATACTTGTTCTCTGATCTTGTTCAATTCTGTAATACACTTTCTTTTTTCCTCTGTCATGGGGAGACTTAGCTTCTTCTGTTCCTTTCATGTTTTTCTATCCCAAACCACCCAAATACTCCCTTGTCAGAAAGTCTGTCTCATAAGCTCACTCTCACCCTGAGCAAACAGACTCGGTGAGGGGGTGGAGGGATGAGGCTTCCTTCTAATATCAGGTGTTCCTGGGTGGTGAGGAAATACATAGCCTTATGTTCATCACAGTTCAGCTGTCCAGTCTCCTTGCTGCCCTGCTTGGATCTGTGGTCTGAAAATAAGTTGATTTGTTTGGGGCATCTCTCTCATGTAGTGGAAAACTGTTGGGAATTTAGTTAACAGTCACAGGTCATTTCTGATACACGTAAAGGGAGTTGTTGAATGAAAAAGTTACAGAGAACCACACAGATTCATTTTCCCCTCAGAACGAATTTGGACAGAACAGTTGGATCAAATCAATTTTTGGAACTAAAGGTAAGGGGAAGTCTAAAATGTTTTTGATTAAATTGTTTGATTAAATTGGGGATGTGACTCTTTTTGTTCTTGAATTTACTGTATTTTGCCAGGTATAAAGCACACTTCTTTGCCCAGATTTTTGAGGGAAAAATGAGACACATTATACATGGGTAGTACTAATTCCATATTTATATACATGTTTCTAACTCTTTTATTATTATTATTTTTTAGATTTTATTTATTCATTTTTAGACAGAGGGGAAGGGAAGGAGACAGAGAGGGAGAGAAGTATCAGTGTGTGGTTGCCTCATGAGCACCCTGTACTGGGGACCATGTGCCCTGACTGGGAATTGAACTGGTGACCCTTTGGTTCATAGTCCATGCTGTATCCACTGAGCTACACCAGTCAGGGCTGTTTTTAATTTTTCTATTTGTGCTTACACGTTAAAAGTGTAACTCTAGAAAGCAATAACGATATCCATATGCACAATAATACCCTGGAATATGATAATTGGTTTTGTTGAATTTACCTGAACTTATAATGAAAGCAGTTTCAGCCAGTGCTTCAACAAAATGAAAGAAAGAGTGAGTGTTGTTATCCACAGAGTAAGATAGATGATGCCAATTGTTATCCACTTGATAAGATAGATGATGCTGACTTGATTACTGTAGGGTGAACAGTGCAACATTTCTCTCTGTACACTTTAGTTGGGAGAAATTATTGGAAAATCCCTTGGAAAATGTCAAAATGGTTTTTGTACACTGCAATCTTTAAGCTAAAAGTTATGAAATATGCTAAAAAGCATGGCAGCAGAGCTGCCAAGAGACACTCTGGACCTCCTCCCACAGAGAGTGTCAGCAGGTTGTGGGACGACAGGAAGAAACACTTCTTCAGATGCCAAGACAAAGAAGGCAATGCGAGGGAAGCCTCCAGAATGGCCAGAGGTGGAGCAGGAGGTGAAGACCTGTGTTCTGGAGCAGTGCCAAACTGTGATCTCTGTTTTGTCCTAGATGATACAAAGAAGGTAAAAGGACTGCACTAGAAAAAAACATTGATGATTTCTCAGGGACACCTAAATGGTGCTTTAACTTTATGAAGAGAGAAGGTTTGAGCATGAGGACATGAATGAAACTTGCTGCCAAACTTCTAGCAGCCTATGAGAATCAAGTTGTGGAATTTCATTCTTATGTTATCAATCTTTGAAAGACTTAGAACTTTGAGCTGTCTCAAATCACCAATATGGTTGAGGTTCCACTCACCTTTGATGTGCCATCCAAGAGAACTCTGGACATCAACGAGCAAAGACAGTGGCTGTTAAAACTAGTGGTCATGAGAAAACACATTTTACTCCTTTAGCCTGTTATGCAGATGGCACAAAACTACCACCTATGATCATCTTTAAAAGAAAAATGTTTCTGAAAGAAAAGATTCCAAGTGGAGTTATTGTCCATGTGCATGAAAAAGGATGGACGAATGAAGAAGGCATGAAAATCTGGTTTAACAAAGTCTGGTCATGAAGGCCTAGAAGATTACTTAAAAAACCAGCTTTGCTTGTTTTTGATCACTTCAAAGTCTGTGTTACACAAAGTGCAAAAGCAATCGCAGCAGACTTGAAAACTCAACTTGCTGTGATAGTGGGCTAGCCAGCCAACTGCAGCCTCTTGATGTGTCAGTAAACAAGCCCTTTAAGGCCCTAATGAAGAAAGAGTGTACATCATGGATGCAGTCAGCTGGTAACGATTTAACACCTATAGGAAGGATCAAGAAAGCATCCATCACCCAGGTTCGTGATTAGATCCTAAGATTGTAGAATGGTGTCAAGAAGGAAGTGGTTGTGAAATTGTTTAAAAAATGTGACATCAGCAATGCTATGGATGGAACTGAGGACAGTGAAATTTACCAGGATGAGGAAAGTGACTCTTCAGAAGACACTGGTAATGTAGAAATTGAAGAAGACCATACTTCTGATATGGACAGCGCTGAAGAGTTCTTGGCCTTCTTTAATATGTAAATATAAATTTTCTACTGGTACATAAAATTTCTTGAACCTTGTATCTGTTCTTGTGTTTTGTAATTATTTGTTACATAAAATTTCTTGTACTATAATATATGAAAAAATAAATGCTAAAATTCCTTTATAATACAAAGAAACAACTAAATATAAATAAATAAAAAATTGAACTAAAGAATTAAAATGAAAGATTGGGCCAAAACTTTTCCCTGAAAGTTTGGGCCAAAAATGTGGGTGTGCATTATATATGGCAAAATACGGTATATTTTTAAAAAACACCCTACAAATAACTTCTCTCTGGAGAAAAATTTCAATCCATAGAGACCACATTAGACCTCACTGTCTTTCCCAAGTAAATAAGATGCTACAGTGGTTTCTTGGTAAGCGTGGGTCTAGTCATAATTGGTAGTAATTAATGATTATAGCAGCTAACACATATTCAATCCTGTGTGTCAGTATACTAAGCACTTTATTCAAATGATCTCATTTACTTTCCACTGTCTGTAACTCTATGGTGTAGGTACTATTGTTATGCCCCTTTAGAGAATGAGGATTTAATAATCTATAAAGGATCTTGGGCTTCAAAGTTGGTCTTGATTCTGGCGCATCAAATTCATTTCCCTATTAGTTGAAGAGTGTAAATGCAGAACTAAGCAGGGGCCATAGACCTGCAGGGGACTTGGGCCTGTACTGACCGAAAGCTTTCCATGGCATTTTATTGATTTCTCTGAGAACCGTCTGTCCTTTTTGTCCACCTGTCACTACCCAACATTTTCACCTCTGACCTCTGTCCCTTCTGCAATAGGATGTAGTCCAGCAATATAGTCCTTACCTCATTAGCCCAGCTACTATAGTTCTTCCATTCTGACTCTGCCCTGCCTGATCATCTGTGTCTTCCCCTGCAGTGGTTGCCTACTTACCCTGTGGCCTGTGGGATTCTCCCCTAGCCCAGCTGCAGAGGAGAGGTGGGTTCATAGTTTCTCCTTTGCTGTCATCAGGGCACTAGGCACTGGAAGCCTTTTAAAAATTGCAGGCTTCTTGGTTAAGAACAGAGCCTGGATTCAGATGTGGGTCCCAGTCCTGGCTCTGGTACTCAGCTGAGGGATCTTGTGCAAGTTTCCTATTTTCTCTGAACCTCAGGGTTGTAAGGGATTAAATAAAATAGTTTATGTAAAAGCTTATCATAGTATCTGGCACAGAAGGCTAAATAAATGGTAACTGGAAACCTCTGCTTTTATTTCATTGGGGATTGGGAAGGAGGGATTGGTTTAGTCTGCTCCCCAGACTTCATAGCTTGTATAATAAGGTGTATATATATGTATGTGTGTGTACACACACACACACACACACACACACACACACACACACACACATTTTATATACTTTAATAGGGAGTTTATAAAGTCCTTGAAGTGCTTCCATAGACTCCCTAGGTGTCTGGAGCTCTACTTAAGAACCTCTGCTCTGGAGAAAAGGGTCATCACCGTGAGTTTAGGATTTCAGGAGGTGTTTGGGTTACCATGGAGGACTAGGGGATGGACTTCATCTTCAGGATGTTTCTGGGATGCTGTCCTTTGATCTCAGTGCTTCTACCTCAGCCCTTTGGTATGTGTACATCTTAGGGGCCTCTGGCTAGAGATAGAATTCAGGCCCAGAAGCTGCTGGCTGCAGTTCAGCCACCACACTCAGGGAAATAGGGAAACTTCAGCAGGTCTGAGGGGTTTGGGAACCCTGGCTAACAGACTCCTCGTAGCTATCTAAAAGGC